GTAAGGTTAACGGTGGTTTGTACTTCATCTAGCATCTCGTCTATGTACCACGAAACACACATCGTCGGTTTTATATTTGCCTATAAACAAAACGGGGAACAAACGTTTATAGTGCTTCTGTCAATGAAACGAAGCGATAAAAGTTTTTCTAATTGCCAGTATATCGATTCAGCACTCATGAATGAGAACGCACTCGGTCTCGACCTACTTTTGACGCAGATTGCTATCGATGGGATTCAACTTTGTTTCCGTTTTCATCAAAATGATGGGAATGAAAATAGCGTCGAGTGAGATCGATTAGTGTACTTTGCAGTTTAAATATTTTTAATCGTATTTTGTATTGTATAATTTTTTTCTTATTTACTTTATCTGAAGGTTTAATTATTTATTATTCGAAATAAGTATTCATTAATTCATGGATGAACAAATAACAAAGTATGAATTTCTTTGTTTGACGAAAAAATATATTTAATGTTTATTAAGTTGGAATAGTATCGATTATTCTTTTTATTGTTGAATATTGTCGTTTGTTGCTTCATTCGATAAAAGTTTCGTGACATTATGTACTGTAAACGTACAATAAATTACGTTATCCAAATAAATATCTTACTCGTAATAGGAACATCATAATTTGCAATCGTCCTACTCTATTTTGCGTACCGTAGCTTCTTTAAGTCGTGTCCTCGACATGAAGTGCAGCAGAACACGCAACCCACGGTATTATTATTCTACTTTGATATCGCGATGTCTATGGTTACTTCTACGCCTTTAAAAAATTTTTATACGAATATAATGGTAATTGTTATATCAGCATATTAATAGAAAAATCTATTTTTGTAGAAATTCCATACTGCAGTTGAATGTATAATTCGTCTCGTAGGTAGCTAGAAGATTCATAATAGAGAAAATCAGTCGTCAAAATTTTAGATGATTATAATAAACATGTTATCTATAATACAATCTTGCATGCCTGTGTGACGTGATGGAAAACGTTATTTATATCCAGGCTTTAATTCCAGCTAGGATACGTGATTCAAAAGCGATTATCAATACCTTGCAACGCAATATATCGTGTACAATTATATTCGCGCAAATAAACTTTTAGATATACGCGATTACGAAGAAAAGTGATTAAAGCTGAACGATACTAAAGAGCACGTACCGTTCGACGCATTTACGGTTGTAAATGTGGATTGCTATCTAGTATGCAAATTAAGCGTTCCATTATTTTTTCGACGTCTGTGTATCGAACAAAATTATTCAAATCGCGTGTGTACATTTGCACGTATACGATTCGCTTCGTAAATATGCAATTTTTTCGTAGTTAATCGTTTTTCATTAACGTAAATGTAAAAGAATTTCTCTGTGATGATAATTTGAAAAAAGCAAAGTATCAGTGTTCACGAACAGTCGCGTGTAAATTGATACGAAAGTTTGATCGAAGAACTTAGGGACATAGTCAATTGCGTTTATTTTTTGCCAACTCTTGCAATATCGTTATTTAACGATGCATTGGTAGGACATCAACAAATCCGTTCCATTCCATCCTTTTCAGAACTTGCAAAAAGATCTGGTATCTATTAAAATAATTTGTTTCATATACTACGCAATTGAATGAACAAAGTGAGAAATTCAATTAAAAGACATTTTGTTAAACAATTATTTTATTATAAACGACACATGTAAATCGAGTTATTTCATACATATACATATACATACACATAGGTACATACATACATGGATGCATACATACATATATACATACATACATACATTAATATATTCAGACGATAAGTATTTACAACATAAGTATACATTTATTCGTATAAGTATAAGTTTGTTTAACGTAGATTCATTATACTCCTGATATATGTTACTGAACCCTTTCGCTGTTTAAATCGAATACTTTCAAAAATTAGTTATTTTTTACTTTGTAATATTTATAAATTTGCATAATTTTTCGTTTGGCCCGTTTTGTTATGGCTTATAATAATACAGTGAAAGCCTAATTAAAATTTCTCTCGTTCCATGTAAGTCCGAAGTATTACGCTCGACTGCATCTTACTATAAGAATATTTTTGATTTGTATTATTTTATAGCGAAAGAGTTACGCTATACGAAGACACGAGTGATTATATTTTATCGACTTTTAACGTAAACGGAAGAAGGCACATAGACCATGATGAAGTTGAACATTTATAACGCTGATGGTTTGGGGATATTTTACACGCGTTGAAAAGACACTGTTTTTTGTTGTCGTGTATAATACATGGAGTTGTTCTTCTTATTTATGGGATAGAGGGTCGGAATAAAAATGTATTTTTTAAATAGAAAATGTACAATATATCGGGAATTAAGTTTCTTATCAATTAATTACTACATGCTTTAACATTGTTCACGCATAATCAAGAGCCTAAAAGTACAGTTTCACCTATTAGTTAAACTTCATTTGTAGTCGCAAACAAAAACTTGAATTTTATAATATTCATAATAAAATATTTCTCCCTTTATCTGATTTTTAATCTTTTTGAATTTTATCGTTTCTGGCTAGTTAATGTCTCTAATTAATGAAAACTCTGTCGAACAAGTTTCATGTGTCCACTATGGATGATATATAATATTGTTTTAGATGAATGAGCGATTACAAAATATATATCATACAATTTAAATTTTGTGTGTACTCAATAACATCGGTGCCACAAAATTTTTACATCAATCTACGATATATTGTATTCGATTATAGCAACCTGCTTTAATTTTCGTATATTAAATACAGAACGACACAACGATGTATCGTTATTAGCTAAACAACACTCTGCACTGTACAAAATTAAAAATTCTACGCCTTCTGCTGGGAGTCACGTAGATCGAAAAATGAAAATCTTTTACGATAAGTATTTTAAAATCGTCAGTTTACTAAACTATCGATATTAAATTATTATCAATTTACAACTAAAATATATTAATTTCGGACTTCGTTCCCGCTAAAATCTAAAACTTTGCTAGTTTCAAATTGTTTCATTTTCGCGATATCTTAGGTAATTTTACACGTAGGCAGTCATTGCGCAGAAAACGATATTAATAATGGAATTTAGTATTTAGCATCTATTAATTTTTATACTATATATTTCGCTTTACAACACCATAGATGCGAAAAATGACAAATGTACGTTCGTTGACGGTCGAAACTCGAGATCATCCAAAAAGAGATCGGTTTTCGCGTATGTAGGTTTACAGTAACTTCTAGCAACGAGTTTTCTAATCTACTTTGTACATTGAAAGCGTCGCGGTAATTTTGTTCGTGCCTTGGACTATCGCGTACACGGAGAAACCATGAATTTTTTACGCTTAACGAGCGATTTTGATGTCGTACGAGTCAGAGTGCTATTTTTGTTCTACTTCCTTCTACTAAGGGAAACATATTTATAGACGTAGACGTTTCTACGCGTAGAGTCATCTTTTAATGGTATAAAATTGTACATGTCGCGAGTTTATAAAACGATTTTTTAATCAACTTTATTTGGACTTTTTGATTTGAGTTATGTTCGGGGTTCGATTGTTAAAAATAAGTCTTTGTAGTTATCTTAGATTCGAAAACGTTCTTTCGACCGATAGTGAAAAGGATCTTTGTAAATAGAGACTCGTAGAAAATAATGTCGTGTTATAGTAAAAAAATTCTTGTGAGATTCATTTAATGTACGCATTAAAAGTTACTTTATCAATTCATTGTACGAAATAGTCAGGAAATATTCAAGGCATCTGTGATAATGCAAAGAGTAGACAGAATGTATACGAACGTTCAGTTAGATAATTACGTAATTACTTTGGCCCCTAATCTGGGTAATTTTTTAAACGTTCTGTTTTCGTCGTACTATCCTATGCTTTTCATCGGGAAGACGACCTAAAATCCACTCAAAATTCCATCCTATTCGTTAGTCCATTTTTAACTGGACACTTACCACTTGTTGAAAGCATTTGTGCTAAACCAAACGTTTCTGCTGGTTCCATTTATCGAACAGAGTGATTTCTGCAATGATCAAGCAATACTCAAAGCAGTAAAATAATAGGTTCGAACACAGTTTTTGTGCGCTCATCCAGAAAGTGCATAAAGATGATATTTTATATATATTCGGTTCCATACACTAACGTGTATATTTCAATCGAATTTCATATCACCGAATGATTTACACAGTTCAATATTTAACAAAAATTTCGTGGAGGATTATATAACGACTAATTAGCAGTCTTAAACAAGCATTTCTTTAAATTATGTTTCGACTTGTGTTTTAAGTAATCTTCAGACTAAAACCAGCTACATTGCCTATAAACATAAGATTAAGATTATAGTCATAAATAGAAAACAATAATAGTATCGAAATAATAGTGAAATAGGTTAAAAGGTATATAAAAAGTTTAACTTGATTTTTCATATTTCAGTAACAAATGATTTTCAGTTTCCTCTCACAATTTCTTTCAAATATTTATAATCTTTATTTCACGTTTATAGGTTTTATAATTTTATTCCAAAAGCACACGAGTCAAGACATAAATAAAAAAATCCACCGCCCAAGATTGATAAAAGGGTTTACATTCACCGAAAAATCAGTCTTTTCTAGAACGTCTCTTTCAGTTTATCCTTCGGTATGTAACCAAGTAGCATTTACAAAAATTTACGTAACATTTTCAGTCACATATTCGTTTACTGTGCTGCAAACGTAGAATGATCAATGAAGTCGACAATTATACACAGAAAGTCGTTTACATCGTAAACATTGCGATACGGCCAAAGTGGTTGCACGGTGAACGTTTCGATTCTTATCTAAAATTCGTAAATGTCATCTTCGATGGTATCGCGGTCAGCCGTGCTGGAACACACGGCCCTGCACTGTTTTCCATAAGCACGAAGACGTTCTTTCAGAAATGCTCGATTAATCTCCATCGCTGTCCACGTTCACCTATGTACACTTGACACTTAACGCGATCGCCATCGATTCCACGAAACTGCCCTCCCTTGGCGCGATGAAAACAACGCGTAAAATTCGCGGGAACGTTCGCTCGAGCATCGATCAAATCCACTGTAATTTTAATCGAGACCGAACGGCGCCCGATGTCCCCGTTAAAACGAGTCCTCAGCCTCGTCGGTGTCGATCAATGGCACCCTCTCGTAGCGGAGCGCGGTGCTCGTCCCAGGCGGCTTAAACTGCTAAAGCGCCATACTTTTGATCTCGTTCTCGCTCATCTGACCCTGAGACGACGAGGGCGTCGCCTCGACCAATCCTTTGTCCTCACCCTCGACCTCCTGCTTGTCGACGCAATAGCGGCACCGCATCTTAGCGTCATCGCCCACCTGCATCAGAGTTGGGCATTAATTTCGTTCGAGTGATCGATCGATCAAAGAGATCGATCGAAAATTTAGTCGTCGGAAGCAAGTCGCGATTAATATTAGTCAATTAATGGAATTAATTGCTCGTGGCGATTGACGATTGAAGGGATCGTTACAGTGGTGATTCTTAAAATAAACACGTGATTCGTAAATTGAACATTTCTATCCCTCCCAATTTGGAGGGTCCTTCTTAGAGTCCAGTGAAAGACATTTAAATGAATTTCACCTCCGCTGTACGAAAGATGAACAGACCTACTCCGAAGTGATGTTCATTTTACGAATCATTCCTGTATACTCGACACCTGCGCGACAAACCATTTGTAACTTCGTTATTTTTACAAATAATAACGTTGTAATCGTTATGAGCGATTAACGATTATGCATTTTAATCGTGATCGTCAATCGTCAAGTCGATTGAATTTTGCCCAACACTGACCTGCACCGATCGCGTTATTATAACCAACGTCGTCAGGCTGATGACGAACAGACCCGACGGCACGATTATGGCGATCAGCAATTCCGTTCGCGTCTTGTTGAGATCGAAACGTGCCACCACGAAGAACGAGTTGTTCTGAAACAGAATGAAAGTCGAATGCGTGGTCAGAAGACGCAGTAAAAAATAAGGGAACATGCATTGCGGACACGAAGGGTAGCATTCGAAAATTGTCATTTTTGGTACTGTTTGGAAAAAGATTATTTTTATATAACATGCATCCGCATGTGGTAATAATAAATTTGAAGTAACGTTTAAAGGAAGTCTGCAATTGAACATCCAGTCGCGACAGAATACATCATTTCAATACGAAAATTGAATATCGATCTTTTCTATTTGTCCGAGCAACTTTTTAAATCAATTTACCGATTCCTATAACGACGTTTCGTCGTATCGCTCGTTTGAACTTCCAAGTAATCACTTCGATTTAGCATCAAATCCTTTCGTAATGAAATTTCGTGGAAAAAGATTTCCATCTTTAGAACATTGCAAGGAACAATTGAAATTCTATCCGAACGTTCCTTTCAAATTACTGTTCCAGAACACAATTACTCTGTAGTTCATGTTACGCTAACAGTGGAAACGAGCGATGCGCCTTCGAACGATTCGACGGGCGTACAGATAAAGGTGTTGCGTAACTGCTGGCCTATTTTATTTAGCATGTGGTTTAACGAGTAATTCGAGTGAATTTCATGCTATTCGATGCAAACAATGTGTTTTCCATCTCTCGACAGGAAAGCTTGTCATCCGGACCGTTGTTCGTTTCCATTAATTGGATCTCCAATCAAATCATTTTGCATCGGCGCGTTACAACAGCTCCTAACGATTAGTCTTTCAATTTTGTAAAATAACGACGCCTTGAATTACTTGTTCTCTTTTCACTTTACATTGCGCGGATCCAGATAGACTCGACATTACACGGTAAAATTTGCTATTTTCTCGCGAGTGCATGGTCGTAGAATTTTCAATAGAAAGCCATGAAATTGGATGTCAAGCATATATTTTATTCAACGTGTTCCGTATTTCATCGTGTTCCAAGAATGTTTCGTGGTAGCATGTGCAAGCATTTTCGTCGCTACTCACCACTGGCGTAATTAGTAATGTAACGTGGGACAAATCGCGCGGAACAAATTTAAACAATACCTTGAAACTGCATATAATACTATGTATATTAAAGTAGTTTGAGTTTTGGAATTCATAATATAAAAGAAAATACTTTATTTTGACAATTTAAAGCATAAAATAAAGTGTTTTATTTTAATCCTTCAAAGCGTAAAATGAACTACTTTACCTTTGTTTTATAAATACGCGTTTGAAAGTGCCCTTAATTTGAAAATAAATTGTGAAAAGAGATTATACAATAACATTTTCAATCTAAATTTATTTACTTTCATCTTTACATTTTCAAGCAATGGGTGAAAATTAATCAAAAGTCTAATTTATGTAGGCAATTAAAAATTCCTTATAGTATAAGTATAAGTAAAATATATAGTAAAAGTATTTTCAAAGAAGTAAATTTATTCAATAGTTCGAAACGGTAGCTTTTATATTTCCAAAATAGCCTTACATTAAATTGATAAAAGGTGACACAGAGATGGAACTATAGACAATTCTAGACATAGTTTCAATAAATAGCTATGTAAAGGAAGCATTTCGAAGTTAGTTGTTGGAATATTAAACTGACCAAAAGTTTGCAAAGACGTGCAAATATTTTATGATGATTGGAGAATGGATGCGTGTCGGGAAATAACCTACCTTGTTGTAGTAGCAGGGATATCTACTCTGCGCCGTCTGATTGTCGCCATCTCGACCATGAGTGGCAAGAAAATCTTTACATTCCCCCTTCAGCGTGTTAACGCAACCTTCAACGTTGATGTAGAGACGAGAACTATTGTAGATCGTGAGCGTTCGTTGCGCTGGTATGTAGGCGTTAGTGGGATCTACAGGATTCTGCAAGCTCTTTTCGTATATGGTCAGAAAGGTCGTAAAGTTGATGTATGGCTGTGGCACCGGGATTTCCTTTAACAAGGTGCCGTTTACGCAATCCTCTGTCCTGCGAAACACAAGTTGGAATACGATAATGAAACAGCCCTTAGAATATCTTCCTGAATGTTCAGACAGTCCAGCCACTCGAAAACATACAGATCGATAAACCTTGGAAAGACTAGGTTGTCACTTTCAGGATAAAAGGATTCGAAGAAAAATCATTTTTACTGCCATTTATCATTTGTATACAAAAAGACAGCTGTGTACGTCTCATTTCTGACTTTTCATATTTTCATTTACGAAGTTAATAAATTACACTTGACAAGTTGTTCTGGAAAAGTGTCACAGAATTTAGTTATGTTAAAATATCGTTTAGATCTACAAATATCTCTTTAGGTTTTTATAATACTTTTATAAATAAAATTAATATACATATATACAAGCGGATGAATTTTCTAAACTTGAAGAGAACCACAAAGAATGGTCCTATAATTTGCAATCACTGATGCAACTATTAATGTAGTTTCATATTTTCCATTATATTGATAGGAGTATCTTGATTGAAATTGTTCTCTTATATAAAATGAACAAATTGTTTTTCACTTACGGGGTATAATATTCTTAAATAAGTCTAAAATTGCAGTTTTCACGATCTTTAATTACCGTCAACGTTAAAAAAGTTTTTTCCCTTTTAGACTAACTATTATGTTGAATAATGACTTGGAAGAATCGCGAAGTATGTTAGCTTTCACTTATCTAAGCATCAACTGGGTCGGTAATCACGCTCTAATTTAATGGTCAGCGAAGATAATTCCTGTTATCAAGCCTGAAAGGTTACTTGGAATATTTTGGTGCGTGGAAACTTTCGGTCGTTAAATAAGGTTTTCGATGAACAGTTTGTTTGTTATTAGTAGACACCTTAGTATATTAATAAAATTTTAGGCCAGGAGTTTATTAATCTGTGAAACATTTTATTAAACTTAATAGAAAAGTACAAGTTTATTCGATTAAGTAGTTGGAAAGGAAACATATTTCTTAGAAATTTGTCATACATGTCAATAAGAAATACCAGTCTCTAAATGATCGAAACAGCCATTTATCTTACTTACAGTTGTCCCCCGAGAAACCACTGCAGTATCGGGAAAAAGTCAATATTAATAAAGTTCCTTTGTTTCACAAAGTTTTCACGATCTATCACAAAATATGATCCTATTTTCCACTTCAGTCTCATTTGGGTTACGTTTTTCGTTTTGAAAGCAAATGGTAATTGAAGACAGTGTCTCTCATAAATTTCATATTTCTTTTACTACTTTATTCTTTGAATTATTCCTCTGTTTTCGCAACAATTCGAATACGGTCTCGGGAACAGGCATTTTTCGTTGATTCATAGAAGAACTTTTCGTTATTTCTCTCCGGTGATCGTTTCGCCGGCGGAACAACGAGACATTCGTGATCGCAAAAAAGTGGGACGAAATATCGACATAAATGGAATGTTTGGCGGACACACGAGCCAGAAAAACGTGGCCCTCGGCTGGTGAATCGGGCAAAGTCGCAGGATCAATGGTTGCCATGGAAATACCCTTATCGGTGTCTTCTAGTCTCTAAGAATGCGACTATAAGGAAACGTCACACGTTCCCCGATAAGAAGTAATTGACACCGTGTACAACCCGCAAGAATGCAATTACAAATTCAGAACACGCGAATGAATTCTGTTCTCATGAACGTCATCAGCCTAACCAATATTTGCATCCTACTACGGTCGAGGTTGCATTAACAACGCCGAGCTGCGTCTCCTATTTGTACCGTGACGTTCATTTATTTTTAATTTTATAGATCACTGGTTAACCAAAATATTTTAGTTTGGTCTTGACAGTTGGGATCCCGGATTTCTTGTAAAAAGTAGGAAATTTTTAAAAAATATTGAAAGTCGTTAATTATTGATCGATGACGAAATATTAAGTTCAAATTATATTCTAAAGTACCCATTTTTAATGGTTCTATTGCCCTACTAAAAATGCTTTTTTAGGAATTTTTTTGGCGCGAAGTCGTAGAATTTTTGATTATTATGAAAGGGGTTGACGACTCGAAAGAGAACTCTTTTCTAGAATCCAGTGCGCATAACAAAATCATTGGAATCTTAGAACCTCAGTCGTATTTAGCATTATCGTTATCGCGTCGAGAATCGATTCCAGTATTTCACGTCTATTATTCCCTGAAAATTATTCGTGGAGTCGACTGGCGGACCCTATCGATGGAAATTGGCCCGTGAACGGGATTGTAGACAAACTAAATTCTGATTAAAGCCCAGGGAATGCGATTACTACGTAATTCATCGTGGTTGCTTGTCCCGCTATCGAAGATTCGAAGAAGGTTTCGTGTTAGTTTCAGAGATAACGGGATCGAGAGTCAATTTCAAGAACGGGGAATCGCTTTTACGCGAGATTGCACGATCGACGCGAAGATTCGTGGTGGTTTCGAGACGAGTCCATTGTATACCGTCGCTTCTTATACCGTAGCTCGGTTTTCGACGAAAACTGCGGATCGTTGGAATTGAAAGGGAGAAAATACGAGGGTGAAATGGGGGATGTTTTGCCCCTATAGCTGCGGAGATGTTGACCCTTGGCGCGACCGAATGCATCGAACTCTTGGTCGCTTTTCCTCTCGCGCTCACTGACACTGAACACATCCAACCAAATGATACGGATAATCGCTGAACTGTTTGCTACCTGACGTCTTAATTACCACACATTGAGTTTACTCGAACGTGGAACTTCCTCCTAATGGATTTGTGATCTCGGCTGTTGCAAAGGATTGACGTCGTTAGTCAGTATTGACCGAACCATCAGGGTGGTATTACGCAACCGTTGAGTTTATCATAATTTGACCTCAAGCTTTGCGTTCATTTAGACCGTTCAATCATTGTGCTGAAAATGTCTTTAATTCGATTATAACTTTTTAATAGAGTTTACTCAGTGTTTTTGTCATAATTTTAGTCTTTTCATGGCTTTAGCTTTGAATATAATCACTGAAGCCATTGCAAGAAGTATTAATTTTGCATTTATTCTTAAATAGAAAAAAAATTACTCGTAAATTGTGTCATAGTATTACGTTTAATACAATTTTATGCTTCATCGACTCGAAATTAACGATTGTTTTTAAATAAAAAAAAAAGCTGTATGCTGTAGAACTTATAGATTCTGTATAGGCAGTATATTCGAACGTATAGGTACCCTCATAGTAGATTCACTATGGTGATTTCAGCTATCGCGGAGTATTGATGTCGTTAGCGAGTATTGACTGAGTTATCAAGATGCTGTTATGCAACAGTGATAGTTTACTATTATTTGGTCTCAAACTGTGTGTCCTAGTTACGTTGAACTCACTTTAATTCAAATTAGAAGTTTATTTAGAATTTCCAGAACAATTATGTAACGATGGTTTACATCCTCATCGGGGTTTGTATAAGTATTTTAAATTGTGCAACTACTTTGTACGTAAATACATCAAAGTATATGAGTTTTAAAACAATTTTTTTAATGATTAAAAAGAAATATTTGAAGTTTTAAAAAGAACTAAAGATTACACGAGCTGCATTAATAACGTTCATTGCAAATATTTTATTTAATATACTTATAACAAATACTGGGTTGTTCAAATAATTATTATCTTCGATTAAAGTGGTGTAAAAACGGTGCATCGGAAAATATGCTACCTCTGTTAATATTTACCTCACGGTGTTTCTCTCTTTGCTAACAGCTATGCAGCTGGCTACGATGCTCCCGTTCTTGTTGTCCCAGACTTTCACAGGCTCGGTCAGCCTGGTTCCAGGCAAATTCCCGTTAGCTGTGTTCAGGGCAACGGCGCGTTCGCATTTCGCGGTAATGATATTGTCGTCTTGCATGAGGTACACGTTCACGTCGGACGTGCTGATCTTCGGGCAATAACGATCGCAGCTGAACGGGTATTTGATTTTCGTGCATCTGGAACTCTGGCAGCTGAAATTGCCGTTGAGCTTCATGTTGTCCTTTTCGCTGTCGACGACTATGCCGTCGGCCTTGTAGTGGCACAACATCAGCTCGCTTGTGTTCGAGCAGTGGCCGAGATTGCAGTTGAAAACTCCGGAGAGTACGCTGCACTCGCTGCCGTTGTTGCAGTTGTACTTTTTCAGGGAAGCCATGTTCGCCTGAAACGAGCAATCAATCGATTTCGAACGATTGGAAAGATAAAGAAGATAACATTGATAGTCAAAATTCTATTGTATTGTTTATCTATCCAACAAATGTCTTTGCTAGCATAATGGTGAATCGATTTTATACATTGCAATTTAATAATTTTCTATTTACTTTTGTAGGGTATTTCACTTTCTTTGAGATATTTGAGCCATAATCGTGAATGCAAAATAAGGGGCAAGGATGAGGCTCATCTTTTCAAGTAGAAAATGTCAAACATATGTCAGACATAGGATACAGATTTCACATTAGTTTGTTAAAGATTATAAAAATTGTAGTGCTTTTGAATTCATTGCTCTGATAATTAATCAAAAGAATGACTTTGAAAATTATAGACTTAGAGAGTGTTTAGGGAAACTGTTTTCCGAGTGCTTTGTACGACTAGGTTTTGCATTAAAATTCATAAGTTATAAACAATTTCAGGTTTATAAACGTTCGTGCAAATAAATGGATAAAAGTATAGTTTTTAACTTAATGTACTTTGTATATTTATGTCGTCCTGGAAAAGATTAGGGATGATTCAGCTAGATATTAACCCCGAAGGTATAACAGTCACGCAACACCTAGTCTTCATTTTTGGAAGCAATCCCCAGAGTGTAATCTAGATTCTGCAGCCTAACACACTTTTTCTCACGATAGAAACTCAGGATGATTGATGATTATTTGTAGGTTTGTTTTATTGGTTCCTGGCCACGTACTGATCACTATAATAAAAAATGTATCAATAGATAGTATAGATTCTGCTGCGTTGTAGAGCCAATGTGAAGTATAAACATGGAATAGGCATTACAATTCAGACGATTTTGCATTTTCTAATTACCAGAAATCTTGTCTGAAATAATTGTCGTGCAGCTGTTTTAAGTTAATAACAAAAGCATCAGTTTATGATTCTGAAAGTATAGTACCTCTCAGTTAGATATTTTTACAATTTCAGACATTTGTCTCTTTACTCATTGAATGACCCTCGTAGTTACTGTACTCTGAATCGAAATACGTTGAATTGTATTGATCCAGAATGGAGTTCACCTACCTCGAATAATAACGCCAAACATATAATTACAAACACCGTCAGTTAGAAATCTTTAACTTTTATTGATTCGAGAATGAGAACTCCTATCCATGCTTTCAACTATTCCATTCGAAGCTCTAAATTCCATCCCTAAACACGATGCGTAGCACTAAAACTTGATCGATAAAAGGCGCGGTGGATGAATAGGACACGAGCCATTAGAAAGTAATTCAAGACGTTGAACTAGATCGCGGGGGTTACGGTAGCAGGTAACAAGGTTACCGCATCAAAGTAACGTACGACAGAGTATGTTCATTACATTAGCTAAACTCTGCGATATCATTTACGGCTTCACATGTGCCGGAACTTGGTTTTTGTTCGAAAAACTTCCGTCAGACCGTTGCACGACACGTCCGATGCGTAAATAATCGAGAACGCTAAGTAATTGCGTCTCGCGGTAGATCGCTGATCAACGCCGTCTCTCGGTTGAGTTAGCCTTCTGAAACTATTCGTTCTTTCCTTTTCTAGCCCTCCCAATGTATCAGATTGGTCATTTCAGAAAGCACTTTGCGCGAAAGGTACTCGATCCGCGAACAATAGCTTTTTTTTACTGCTCCCGACTACATTAGCTAGAATTCTGTCTGCAAAAGCATCGTGGTAAAACGGATTAAAGATAACGTCGTTCATCCTACAACACCACACTTTATTTTTAGATACAATAGGGCATCCATTAACTGGGGTTTGATTATCCAGAGTATCTATATTCTCCAAAAAATGTTGGCATATTGAGCTGAAGTGACAGTTCCTGCATTCGCCAACAGAGGGCTACGATCAACCTGTAACTCTCTCACAAGTGCTCGACCAGCCACCGATTCCTTCAATTCATATCAATGAATCTGTTACCTCAACAACGATAGCAGTAATAATAATTTGTTAATTGCTCAATCTACATCTTTCAGCTTTACTTTTTTCTAGTGGTTTCGTAGGGCAATATCTATAATCCACAATATTTTTTACCTTTTAAATCCCTTATGAAGTGAAATCTCACTCGTTCTCTTCAAATCATGATTTAAGTAATACTCATTTTCCCAATTTTGTAACAAATAATTCGGCTGATATTTAGATAAATTTCTAGTTTTGCTATCGAGTGACTTTTAGTTTTATCACTTTCCCGGAATGATCAATATCTTAAGCGCGACAAAGTAATGGAAACCTCTTCGTGAAGCAACGTTTGACGTACCACTTGTCCCCACGGCTAATTAAAAACGCAGTCGCCGCTTTCGAACCGTACGGTTGATCGACTCTTTTGTCACGAGAAATACGAGAACTCTGGAGAATAGTGTTTTAGCGCGACCGTTGACGCAGCCCTATGAATTACTTCTCACGGAAGACGCAATACGCCCGATTGGAGCGAACAATAAGGGTGAAGTGGATGCTACGCGGAGATCGACTTTGCAGTTGACACGGGAAAATAAAATTCTGAGAGGCAAAGCTGCGATAATGACGGTCTGCGTGGGTATCTGTAATAGCTGACGTTCGAGCTCTTGTCGCGAGTAATTTGATCGCATGGGGTATTGTACGTTCGCGGGAGAGCGGAAAATAAATGTCGGTTCGATTTTAATACGAGAGATAGCCATACACCGTACAGCGAACCAGAATTAATTCGTACCAAAAACGATCGATCAATTTCATTGCTAATTGCATTGGCAATCATTTCTTCAATTTTGTTATATGCCACGATCATTGTTTTCGCATTTGTGTTTTGTTCAATCTGTTATAGTGGTAAATATTTACGAAACAAGTATTTCAAATATAACTATCGTTTTGTTCATTTATTCGGACATTCCTGGGTACTCCATTTCCTGTTTTTTGTTCGTGTTATATTATTTTCTTCCTCTAATACAATCGCCATCACATCGAAATGAGTTCTGTCGATGTATGATAAATGGATCTTAAATGTAAATACAGGGTGTTCTACAACCCCTGACAAAAATTTTAATGGTAGATTCTAGAGGCCAAAATAAGACGAAAATCAAGGATACTAATTTGTGGATAGAGGCTCCGTTAAAAAGTTATAGAAACATTTCCGGGCACACAGTATATTTTCGGTAAAGAATTTTTTTTTCGAAAGTACGTAGGATTTCGGAGTATGTGTATTTATAAAAAATGATTGTAATTGATTCCTGCAACCGAAAATAATTTTCCTAGAACGATTTCAAATTTTTTTTTTAAATTGAGGCACTCCCTGCCGAATTTTCTTAAAAATTCGTTTTTCCTTTTTAATAAATTTGTTTAACGCTGTACAGAAAAGTTGTTTAATACTTTTTTGTAGATATCCATAAGCTCTACTTCGAGAATAAATTTCAGTTTGATTCAGTGACTATTGTAAGAGTTATGGGGGTTTTCTCATTTTACGGGGTTAAGGAACATCTTTTTGAAAATTCTTGCAATTTCTACATATTCTACACTAAAATACGCGTTGTTTGCCTCTTGAAACATTAAAGTCCTTCAATCCATTCAGGAGTTAAACTGTTTTAAACATACGCATGAAATTTCAGTGAAACATATCAATGTATGATCAGACATTACAATTTTCGGTAAAGAATTTTTTTCTCGAATATGCGTAGGAATTCAGGGGTATATCTATTGACCAAAAATGATTGTATTGGAACCTCGCAACCGAAAATAATTTTTTTGTAAATGATTTCAAATTTTTTAATTTAATTTTTTAATACAAACACCCTGTTTATTTATAACTACGCGATTCAGTTTCCGTGTGAGTAACGATATTATTGAACGTTTAAAAAGAAACGGGTCTCTAATTACATTATCGAAATCAGAAATAACTAAAGAGTGTAAAATTAGAAAAGAAATTATTCTGCGACCATATTAGATATTGCGACGAACGAATTCGAGACACATAGCATCGGTTTCAAGGAAGATGATGGAAAATTGTTGTCGGCGACGAAATTCATTCCGCGTATAATGTAACAAGTGCTTGGTGATCCGTAAACCTTATTTTTCCGCACGGTCCTACGGGAAGCATAGTTTTAAAGTTTTTCCGATCAATTTAGTCCGTGTTACAGCCACTGCGGGAGTAAATATCACAGGGTCTTCTGGATACCTATTTGTTTGCCTAGAGCGCTACAGTTCCGACAGGAGTTTGAAAAATATCGTTTACCAACGAACATAAGGGGAAAACCTATAAAGTAGATATGAAAAATTCAAAAATCGTAACGTATTAAAGGAAATTTATATGCTCCTAAAGTTTAGTAAGTAAAGTTTGTAAAGACTGTGGAAGAAGCGTGAACAACACACAGAGTGGCTCCCATAAAATATTACAAAAAGTTACAAAATATAAGAAATTTTTTTTAATTTTAAAGTGAACATTCAAGAATTTGAGGAATGTCACTATTAATTTCTTTTAATGAAATACTACCTACATATTTGCAAGTTTTATTGGAAAGGAGTTTCTATCGTACTGAATACAAGATATGTCTGACCATAGAGAATTTCTTTCCCTGGCACTCTGTCATTCTCTTCTTACGTATTATTTCATTCGCGTTTATTACTCATGCGTGTCAAACATACTTCGTCTTTTCTCGTTATATTTCTCGACGTATATTGTTTTGCAAATGGTGTTAGATACTTATAGTTACATTAATAAAAATTTCTAAAATGTTTACAAATCGTTAGAAATTCCTTTTGTTTACATTTCTAGAGAATGTTCAAGTTACTGTTTTATAGGAGTTTCAGTAGTCCGATGAATTTGAGAAAAATTCACCTTGTTGCTGTGAATTCGGTTTGGAAAATTTGCATTTTGCTAAATCGTTTTTGTTTGAAATTATGATTCGATGCTAATGCGTACCTGTGGGCAGGCTATACTGTTGAATTTCGTACAGTTCTCGAAAATGATGTCCGTGCCATTCCTTCTTACGGTTGCATGAATCTGAGGGCAAAATCCGGTGGTTTTTGTTAGGCACCACTCCCCGCAACTCGCCCAGCCACAATTATTAGCTAAGGTGGTATTAATGGTTTGGCACATGACTGGATCTGGATCGATCCCCGCGTGAAAGGCTCTGGAATTAATTGCATCGACTTCATTAATATTTCCCCCAAGGCACTTTGGATATCGCATGACGGAACACGATATTCCGTGCACTCAGTGGAATGAATTTTTCGACGATAAATCTTGACTCGTGATGTTAATTAAATTATTAAACAAATATCATTTTTAATATTGCGAAGTTAGGAAAGGAAGACTAATTAGAAGTATAAGTATATATTCTTAACAAATATGTAAAGAACGAAAGTAGATTTTTCCTAGGTTATTCAGGATTTTTCGATTTTTACGAAAAGTTCCTCTTAATGGGATTCCTTTCTATCTCGAGTCGAGAAAGGAAAAATGTTTGGAATTTTGTTCGATAAAGTCCGCGAAATATCAAACTGAAAGCTGCTCTGCTAATTAACACACTTGTGAATATGTTATATAAATTATTTCGTGAATTTTCCTGTAATAATTAACGAGTTATACGTCGAAAATATCATCGTATTCGATGAATGCGATTTCCACTCATCCGCTAAACGGAAATGTAAAAAAACAAATTGATTATTATTCAACATGAGGCGTTCATAAGAATTGCATAAAATTAATGACATTGCAGTACAATTTATTTTTCATGCGTATAAGCGCAATTTAAAAAAATGTTATTTATCACCCACGTATTAGCATTTAAAAATGTACACTTTACATAAGAAAACTTGTGATAATTGAAAGCAGTATTATTTGAACGTTTTGAACGGCTACATTTACGAACGATGTCTCTTATTTTTAAAGGATTCTCCTACATGTATTTTAGAAAACGTAAAAAAAGAGGAATCAATTTCGTTTACCCGAGATACGAGGAAATCCCCTTAAGTTAGGTAGAGTCAGGGTCGGACAACGTGTTATAGATCTCCGAGGAAATTAAGGCCGGACGAGTCGTAACTTCATTACGATCGACCTTGGTCAATTAATCGATGCAGCCTTGTCATTTACCTGTGGGACGGCATGTAGATTGCCACACTCAGATAAACCAGCGCGACGCAACTGATGACAATTGTGAACTGACAGAAACAGATACTGCCGCATATCCTGCGATCCTGTTCCGGTATCAGGCGACGCTTATGCTTCCGGCCCATCGCGAGTATCCAATCAGATCACGTGTTTCCCTTCTTCCCCTTTCAGCGTCCTTCAACGGTGATCTCCGTACGGATTAATCCGCGTGATTTTTCACGAAGTATAGATTCACTTCAAGCTCGACGACATTTCAAACCACGTGGCCCTGACTGTTCCCGCACAGAACTTCTAGCTATCATCGATACGTCCTTTATGGGGTTGGTAGATGCATGTACACGATAGAACAGTCCTCTTCACTTACGAAGCGGAATACAATTTTCTGGTCTGAAAGCAAATTGCAATCGATCGATTTAATTTTCTTTTTGCTGATAGTTTCGTGGTCGGAATAATTTGACTGTACCGTGAGAAAGATTTTTTCTTGAATTTATTTGATAACGAACGCAGACTAAATGAGTATATTTTATTGTAGATAATTTTCTCAGGCCCTAGTTTGGTCTTCTTTGATATACAGAAAGTAATTGTTTGTACTTTATATAATTGGTATGAAAATATGGCCATTTAGTATCAATTAAAAATCAATCAACCAACAAAATTTAAATATAAATAAAAACTGAAAAAATATAGGTGTGATTGTTTACTTAAGATGGCTAACAAGTAGATACATTGTGTTAAATTCGATACGATTAAAACCTCTAGACGCAATACTATCTAATTCTTCTTATAGACTTCTTTAACCGTCCAGGACAATTCGATTGACCGACTGGTTCGAGCTCAAGGGAATCATAGACGTGAGCCTGTTGCATTCATTTTTAAATTAAGCGACGAAACTTGTTGCTCGCTCGAATCGATTTCTACGCGTGAAAGAAGCGAGGCTTCGAAAGATACAATTTAGTTCGCGGGCTGACACGCGTACGCGTTTGTTTCGTTGTGAATTTTTTCTTGAGATTGTTGCCGCGCAGCTGAGTTTCATAAGTCCGAGGACGCTTCACAACAGGTGTTTTGGTCGCTCGCCCACTCAAATAAATTTCTCACGGACGAACCTTTACGTTTCATCGATCTGACGGCTCCACGCGCCACGAAAATTCCGTGTAACGACGTCAGCGTTCGCGCAGAAAATTATTTCCTCTCCATTATGAATTATGTTCTCGGTCTACCGATCGATTTTGTATCCCGAATTCATGACATGGTACTCGAAATAAAAAGTGTTTACCCGCGATAAAGTTAATATCGTCTGCACTATAAAAGGTCGTGCGAAGCATTGATTTTCCAGGACGTATAAGTTTTATATAAGGTCCGAAGCCTGACACGCGATACAGATCTAATTCGGATGCAGGGTCATTTTGACACAAATTTTCGGATTAAGAGTCATGACTTTTTAATGATTTGTGTGAAATTTCAAGGAAAAATTATTAATACACATTATATATTTAGTGAAGAATTTTTTTCTCAAAAATGCGTAACATTTCAAGAGTATGTGTTTCTATCAAAAATGATTCTAATTAACCCCCGCAATCAAAAATAATTTTTCTAGAATGATTTGAAATTTTTTTTTCGTCGAAAAATTTAGGCATCTACTCCCTGTCGATTTTTCTTAAAAATTCGTTATTAACATTTAACAAATTTACATAAGGTTCTACGATAATTATGTTTAATACTTTTTTGTAGATTTCCAGTAGCTCTACTAACTAAAAAAGTTTCAACGAATTACATTCACCATTTTCCAGTTACATAAAATGTTCCATAAAATGTTCTAACATAACATTGACGATCGGTTTTTTTTGCAACGTAGTGAACACCTATGATAGAACACATTTTATTGCCAATATTTAATAAAACGTTTTATTACGTTGAAAATTCATGAATATATGGATAACTTGGGGAATGTTTGGAAGAATGTATCAGCTAACGTTACTATCAGAATTTGCTTCGAAGAGAATTTTTCCCAGAAATCTTCCATCGAAAAGGAAAAGTTCATGGTGTCGAGTAACCCTTCGTAGATGTACAGACTTAGATGTAGAAGTGGGTAACCCTCTATCTCTCCCTCTCTCTTCTGAACATCTGCTAGTTCGTTTCACGTACAGTCCTTCGTCTAAAACTCGTAACGCGTGACCCTCGACTTTTCTGAAGATCTGAGTCATCGTTCCTATGAATCTTAAACTCGGTAAAGGCCAAGCAATCTTGGAAATTATTGATTCAATCCTACGAAATGGACTGGCGTGTCATTTGGTCGATTAAATGTGAGAAATATGATTTTGTAGTATACACAGTGTTTAAAAAGTGAAGTTCAAGACTCGGATGGCTTAGGATAGTATAATCAGTATGATTACTGATGTGACAGAATTACGAGAACAAATAGAAAATGCATATCAAACAATACAAGATTAGGAAGGAATACTTGAAAATGTGTGTCGATCAATGATTCGTAGATGCGAGCTTTACATTGCAACAAAGGGTTTGGATAGGAGAAATTCTTCGATAGTTTGGAGAGTTGAATTAGTTAGACCGGAGCGGGAGATCATGACTCGAACCATGATCCAGGAATTCGATCGGCCACCTCGTTCATTCTTGGTGACAAAGCAGACGGCTAGTACTGCCATTCATTGATTGACAATGAACATGGCATTTCATTTAAAAATCAGCTGATACTTCGAACCGAAAATTGAAGGTACTTTATACATGTTTTTTCAAGGAAGGAATAATTGGATAGGAATTGAAATTAGTAAATATATACATTACATATTGTTGTTATTTTTACTAATTTGAGGTGTGTCATTAGCCCAAAACAAAACTGGTGAACAAATTGTTAATTTAAACTAGTTTATATATCGAGCAAATTTTCATGAAGCTAAAATCTCAAATATTCTGTTTTCTGACTTCCTCTCTTCTTTTAATATAATCAAAACAAAATGAAAATATTCAATATCTTTGGCTGATAGAGGTTCATTCTTCAAAAGTAACTTTTAAAGTATTGTGCACAAGTTTGATAAAGATTCAAAATCTGAACAATCGCATATTTATTATACTTATCAATAGTCATCGATTACCCTACAGACCTTCTACATCGACAGTTTCAGTCTGTTTTTCCTGCTCACCTCCCTACGTTTGCCCCAACTCCTTTTTTTTTACTGTCCATGCTATCTACGTGTCAGCCGTAATGCACTTATGGCAATTACCGGGTTTTAACTTCATTAGGAGCAGCGCTAGTGTAAACAGGCGTACTCCATCGGATGACGTGCAATTAGATACTCGTAATCCCATTACCGCGCAAGGGACGATCACTTAACGGCCATTCGAGAATAATACCTATCGATTCGGGGAAACTTTCTCGCTTTACTAAGCGTTAGGAGGTTTCTTAAACGCAATTGCGATGCATCGGTGGGTAACTCAGATTTGAAAAGACTTTGAAGTCGTAGAATTTATCGATTTTAGCATGAGAATATCGTAGTGTCCTTAGTAATCTGCGACGTAGTAAATATAGTAGCATGGAGTAGTACAACACAATTGAATAATTATAGGGTGCAAATACCAAAGGGACTAAGTAGATAATTAGACATTATCAGGTACCATAGAGAAAGGCAATTTATCAGCAATTAAACATATAATGCTTAACATTGTTGTATTTCAGAAAGTTCAAACTTCAGAAACATGTAGTACTCATCAATAGAAAGCAAAAATGTCGTAACAAATATGAGTCAAAGTTCCCATTAGGTATTACGTTATAAAGCTTTTTTACAAGTGTATACAATAATTATAACATGTTCATAATTTCAACATTTTTAATGAATAAATAATTTAAAGGTCAATTTTAGAATTAATAACTGTATACGGTCACGGACTCTGTGATGCTAAAATGACAAAGTATATTATTCTATTACTCTTACTGTATGACCTAATGACTTACTTGATAAATTACAGATAGACACGCAGTTGTTTTTTATGTTGTTAAAAGGTCGTAGATCAAAACACACCACTGTACGTTTACTCAATGTTAATTCTGAATTATAGATTACAAATGTGTTGTTTGAAAAGGATTCACAATATAGATCGAAATGTTCTGAGAAGAAAATATACGTGTTTATGTCATTTTTATCTACGCATTATTAAATAAGATGTTTTCTTCTTTGACGCTTAGTTCCTTTGGTACTTTCACTCTGTAATCTTGCTTGTACACAGATTATTTCGTTTCTAAGAATTTGAAATAAAGCGTTTCATACGAAAGTATTCAGCATTCTTTTAAATATAAAAGGAAGCTGGACGAGTAGCACAATTAAAAAAGTTATGTACAAACGTTCATAACAAATGAACAAAATTAAGCTTCTTTTACAACTTTTAAAGCAATGACGTATTTGTTTCAATTTTTTCACCTATATTGGACACTCTTTTTAGGAATTCCTCGAAATAAGATTTTAATTGATATTAAATTAGGCTAAAAAGTCGAAATAATTACGTATGACGTTACAGAACCCATAGAAGAGTGATTTAAAGATATTTCTAAACTTTTGGGCAAAAAAAGAAAATTTTGTTCTATTACAAGAAATCGTTCCGTGTTAAAGTAACCTATTCCATTCGTTGCTTTCCGATAAACACTATAAACAAGCGACGACTATCGATAGATCGATTGATAAACTACGGACAGGTGTATTCGAGGTCGGCGAGATATAGGAAAAGTTGCACAGGTGTTTCGGAAGAGAGTAAATTTCAGTTTAGCCGGTCTCGAACCTTAGAAACTTTTATGTACCGGTGGTATTGTCCTCCAGGGAACGCTACGCAAACCCTTACAAGTAACACGAAACGTGTTCGAGATGCGATCGACGTATTTTACCTTCAGGAATACCGCGACAGCTCCTCTAAATGTCTCCGCTGTCTTCGATCGTGGACGATAGCCGCTCAAATATCACTTATAATTTCAAGAATTAAAACTTCGCGACATCTAGAAGACACATAAATGCCGCGTCGTAGATTTTATCTCGACGATTCGAAATACCATCAATTAAAACAAAGGAGAAATTGTCACCTAAATTGTAAACACTGTCGAAACTTGAGATTCTAAGAAGAATATTTGACGCAGCAATTTATTCAATATCCATCAAAAATATTCAATTGACTCTATGGTATCCTTAAACAGTCATTTTTCGTAAAATTTCACATCGATCACTGTTTTAAAACTCTCGTGCCACACGGTCGCGATATATATCGATAGATCTCGAGTTTCGTGCTGCTCGACATAATAAGAAACGATCAGTAGAGGTGCACTGTGCTCGCGTCTTCATTTCCATCCATGTTTCTTCGTGTCATATCTTCCCGTGGTACTTCGACATCGAGGAGAACGAGAACTCCTCGGCCCTACGGTCTGGAACGACCGCGAAGCACTCACGCAATCCCGACGACTGTTTGAAAACAGGGCTGGCCGTCGAGCGTATGGCTCGCAAGCTCCCCCATGTCAAGCTTGCGCCCTAGTGTTCATGGGGAGCTGCCGATCGAGTCGGTGAATTCTATGTAGAAACCACTCGCGGCGCTCGAACGTTTCCCACGATCTGCCCGCGACTATTTGCTCGTCAGCGAGTACGACTTCGCGCTAGAAAGCTGATTAATCGACGACCGACGTCATCGGGCAACTTTGCTTCTTCCGCGCGAAATTACATTTGCTGTGATTCCACAAAGTTGTTACAACACAGCGCAAGAGAAGGACACATCATTCGCGGAATATTGTACAGCTTCCCCTTACAAGGATACGGATTGCAAAGTCCGATACTTGCCATCTAATAGGCTTTTGCGAACGATTCTTAAAATGCTAAATCTACAGATACAGTTTGTGGAGAAAGTGGTCGATAGAGCTTTGAAACTATTATAGCAATACGGGGAACTTAGTCAACAAATCTTACACATACGTTGTACGAAACGAAAATTAATTGAAACATTCATATATCTGATGTTTCGTATTTGAGATATGGCTTAGAACAGTTGTGCATCTATTAAAGTACCAGTCAACGCGAATATACGTGATTAATTCAGAATGATGTCCACTTTCGCTTTAATGATGGCAATTAATTGCTTTGGCTTCGATGCAACCATGTTTCAAATGTCATCTCATATTTCCTAGAGGTATTCTGTGGCATTAAATATCATGATTTTAGAAATTAGAAAAGATGATACAAAAAATTCATAATCAATCTTTTAAGAGCATAATTTTTTTAGTATACCTTTTTAATACTGTTCTGAGGAGCATTCATAATTTATTTCTTAATTTATTTCTCAATTGTATACTTCTTCACGTAGGATTCAACCAGATTTTGAAAAGAAGAATTATTGCTTGGAAGATGAAAAATGTTCAGGATGATCGTTTACCATCTAGATGATGGACGACGACATTATCCGAGCCTCGGTATATTCAAGTCGTAATATTTAGTTATATGAAATTTCTAGTATATTTAGTATTCGAAAGTTTAAGAAATTGCAGAGCAAAATCGTCTATTTTTGAATTACAATAACATAGAGCCAGTTTTTAAAAGAATTGTGATCAGAGACGAGTAGTAGATGTTATAGTAGTAGCGAATCCCGAAAGAAACGCCCGAAGGGTAGCAAAACCAGGGGTACACCCACGTAAAACTCTTACTGTCTGGTTGGTGGGTTTCTCGAGATGTTATTTATTGCCAACTCCTACAATCTAATGAAACCGTCAATTCCAAAAGATATTGCACACGATTGTAGGGGTCGGAATTTAAATCGAAAAGGGTTCGTCATCCATCAGAACAACGCTTAATCACTTGTTTGGGGGAAAAATGTAAAAATAGCTATACGATTCTGGTTGGAGACTTTTGTGTAATTAATACCTTATTATTTATTATTATTTATTCAACTCACTGCGACATTGACGGTAAAAAAAAAATTTCAAAGTAAAGAAATCGTCTTGAAACTCGTGAAACTATTTTGTAATCCGCAGGGTATCATATTTTAGGGAATAATAAAATAGTCTAGAAAATATGGAGAGTAGGTTTCGTCTGAAACGAAGATATAAAGTGAAAAATATGCACCACCATTATACTTTGTTGGTAATAACAGCTACTGGATACAATTGCGTACATTTATTGGAGTACATACCGGGTGATTCTAGAAACTGGGACAAGCTGTAACACATTTCCAAGCATAGATGCAAACAATCGATGCAGAGAATAGTTGAACCTCGGAATGAGGACTATCTTTTCACGATAGAATCTATTGTTTTAGTACAGTTGTACGAGTGCATATTGCGCTTGCACTTATCTTTTAAACGGAAACATGCATTTCTGTTGGCATAAATCGATTCTTCTCATCACTCTGCATATCAAAATATCAAGGTAGGGCCATTAAAAGAGGAAATTTCTTTATTTCAGGTATTCTAGTGTTCCACTGTTGTAATCTAAATATCTTCCATTTTTCATTACATTTTCGAGCTATGTAGCATTTACACTCGAACTTAAGATTTAATCTTGATTTTCATTTGATCAATTGAAAGAAAAACCTACAAAATGCACTGTGATACAAAAAAGAAAAGAGCTGAAAGAAGAAATGACTCTGAAACTTGATAACCAGATCTACGTGTACTTAAAAACTGCCCTCCGTTTCTTCTGCTTCTTCTAAATTTTTCTCTGCTCTATTTATTCCATTCTACCTTCCTGTCAGTTTGTTTCTTCAGTTATTCTTCTTTTCTGCAAGTTATTTCTATTAAAATAAATCAAATCATTTTTGCAAACTGTGGTACAAGTGGCATTTTCTCGCTACACGATGCGGCTTCAGAAAGTTTTCTTCAATCGAATGTTTTAAATTAGTTTCGTCTCCATTGCATACTGCCTTATTAGTATTCATTGAACTATCTACTTTCAGTTTCAAGAGTTTCCGAACAGATTGCTTTCTAGCTCTTCTTTGGAAAGGGGAAACGTGAATTTTGCATAACATATAATTACTGAAATTGAGAACTGTGAAACATTCTGTTCATTTATGACGATGTTGCTCTTGAGTGCATTTGTACATTGTATGCAACCATTATGGAATGCATACATCGTACACAGGAGTTCTGCAGGTGTCAGTAATAATGTGTACAGCTTCAGTATAGTTTCGACCGAAGCAATTCATCATTCTATGCATGCTGATACACTATAGTCTCCACTTACCACTTGTTTCCAGACCTTGACGCAATAGTGACATTTTTTAAACTCGGAGAACTTGACCTTTAGTACGTATTACAATTTTACTTAATATATCGAAGTTTTTCAAAAATAATCTTTTTAACCATAATCGTGTTAAAATGTATAAATAGTGCATTCTAAGTATTTCAAAAGATGTGGAATGGCTATAACATTTTTGGGAGTGAAAATGCAGTTCCAAGAGTCGAATTTACTCTAAAATATAATTTTGCTGGAATAAAGAAAATTTATTTTATTTTAAAGAAACGTTAATATGTATTAATGTTTTGTTTTGTATTTCATATAAAGATATATTAGTTTAAATTATTGTTTTCGTTGAATGTATTGTTCGCAATTCCTTTATTCTTGAAAATTGGAACTGAATTCGAATATTGCATAAATTTCATAATAGAAATAATCATAATAGTAATAATTTTGTTTCTCTTGATTGATTACCAACTAGGATCCAGCATGAATTTGATGTTACTTTTTTAAAACCAGTCCCAAAAAAAAAGTTCTGTTCCTTAACATTGTCGGAAATATTTGGAACACCCTGTATTTTCCCAAGTGAATCGAACATTGTGTTAATGTATTAGGTTCCCTTCCGTGAAATCTGATAAAAGCTTCTGTAAAATGAAATAATGTCTATAGATTTTGTTTCAATGAAAAATACGATACATCCTCGAAATTGTTCAAATTGTGTTTAATGCATCGTTGTTACAACAAAGGATTTTCTTGTTTATTTTAAATTGCATTGCCGTGGGGCAGTGTGTTCTAAAAGTTGTTAAAGGTCGATTGTTGTGCACCTGCGGGGCTTGAAAGCTTTTTCGGTGATTGCTATCACGTTACAGTGATCGATTTTCTAAATGGACACACGAGATACGAGTGTGCTACGCGTTTCGTCTACAAAACTGTGAATTAAAATAAAGTGGGGTTCGATTTTAATATTAAAAAAAATTAATTGGAGGATAGAGATCGAGAAGGAAGATTGGAAATGATCGAACACGTTTAACAGAAAACGTGTTTCTATATATTTCAAACGAAACCGTATAATCTTTTATTTACAATTGTCCGTTAGTATCGCAGAACGAGTACGTTAATATATAATATATTATTATGTACAGTATTCAAGACTTAATGGTACGCCCGAAGCGATGGACAAACGTTTCCGTTGGTGAAGTTTAAAATTCGAAGATAAAGAATTGGGAAGCTTTTCTCGTAGAGTGTCCTTTCACTTTTGGAGTATTTATATGAGAGAGAATGAGAAGGCGTTATATAGAAGTAGGAGCAACTACGGGTTAAGTTGCTGAGAAACGGGGCGAAATAGAAAAAGACGAAACGGAAATAGAAAGGGAACTGGTATAGCAGAGCTTAACTATAGTAGGTGCAGGTACCGTTAGAATAATCAAGTAACATGCGATAGAGCGTTATTATACATACGTATTGATAGAAATAGACTTTACGTTCATCGTCGCTTTCTAATCTGTGACCGTACGCGATTTTCTTTCTACTTTTCATCGTTCATCCATCGAACGGTCTCATCGCGTTTTGGCGCGCAGTGAAACGACTCGTTCGATCGTCGCGTTTATCAATATATTTCATTTCCCTAGAATTTCGTATCGTCTATCTAATTGCATCGGCGTCATCTCCCGCGACCGACGATCCTAAATACGTTTAACACCACGATCACTGGCGAGGCTCTAATCGACTAACGAATTGGCACTAAACCGATCTGATATGAGAGATATGGAAGTGCTTGCATGCAGACGAGCTCCCATGGATTACCGAGATTGTCAATGACGCTCTCACGAGCTTACGAACGATCCTCGATGCTCGCGGGTACATTGACCAAGCACAACGACAGTGTTTAAATACAATTTACGTCGAAGTGTTCCGCGACCTAAAGACGACCATTTCGATCGAAGACGACGATTTCGTTACCTCTATCCATTCCCTTTTCGATCTGACAGCGACAGCGAATCGTTCCACGGACTGACGCCCTAATTTTTAACAATCGAACGTTGACAGAACCTCGGCTTAAATTACGCTAACGGCTACAACAGACCGTGCACGTTACGATTTTTCATCGTATCTCGTACAAGAAATCGTACGTTAAGACGCGTAGGCTGCTATCCTAAGCCAAAATGGCGTGTCCCTCTTTGTGGCTGAATTTAGTATCTTTTTACCCTAGCAGCGACATCTGTTATGTGTTTCGACTCCAGCAGAGTTTTAAATGTCGACGTTCGCGTTTCAGTGGCTCCAAGAGGGTGGATAGAAATGTTCACTTTACGAATCATCACTGTAAACGCATTTTGATCGCGAATGACGTTAAAGTGCTAATAAAGTTAGACGTCCAGAACAAGTTAAAGGAGAACCTAGGTAATTTCGACGCAAAATCTTAAGAAACGAGCAACCGAGACACGCCTTTTTGGCTGAGGATGACAATACGAATCGTTTAAATGGTGTCTCGAATTCGATAAACGTCTTTTTTTTTCTTTCTATTACGTTTCGCGTCGATTGTTCGATTATACCTCACCGTTCAACGAGCCGAGCGTCTTGAGCAAAAGTTTCACGTGACAAATGGCGCGATTGGTTCGCCCCCGTGTGTTTTTCGACTCTAATTCAAGGGCGTGGCCGATCGATCGATCGATCGCTAGCGCACGGTAACGGAAATCGATTAGCAAGCTTCGAGTGGGGAATGAGTGCCAGATAGCAGGCTCCGTTGGCATTCGCTTCTCTCATGAAGGAAATTACGCCAATTTTCTGGACGCCTGCAGCAAGGCCGAGTAAGGATTCACAACCATTCTAGATGTACAGGGTCGCGACGTAGTTTCCGTACGCTTCGAAACAACTGCGCGAATCTCGTTAATCTAATCATAAGACTCCACAATTTATTAACGTACGATAATATCGCTTTTTGGTATAACTAGCCACGTTATACTATGAAATTAAATTTTACAGATGAAGCATTTTAACCCTTAACTACAATAGTCAAAGAAATGAATTGAACATTTTGGAATTTTGAAGTTTTTTGAAATCGAAAAAATAATAGATGGCTTTTAGTTTATTGCAACAATTAAACATTCTCAGAAGTTTGTATATTGTAGGATAGTAAACTAGTCATTTGTACCTAAGGGTTAAAATTTACATTTTTAAAGAACAATATCGCCTCTTAGCATCGATAGTGACATAATTCAACAATGTGAATTTTCTCCGATGAATATTTTTGAAGTTGCATATTTAAAGAACGATATAGTTATCGCGAGTTGTACCGATTTTTGAAACTAATAGATGTAAAAATATGCCATTTTATATAATAAAAAAAGCTGTACTCGTGAAGTTTATTTGTACAATGAAAGTAAAATTGATATTTTGTTATTTTTGCCACTATTAACTCTATTGATATTCTTTTATTTGTGTCACTATAGCTTTGCGATAAGAAACATTCTATTTATTATTGTTGGTAGTTAATTGGACGACACTAAATTTCTGTATGGTACTCAAAATGTGTGAAAGGCAGTTTCCTTGATACATAGAGTCTTTCATACAATGTGGGCTTAATTTCAGTCGCAATTCGAACACACAAAAATAGTGGGAATAATGTTTGATGTTATATTCATATAGTAATACTGGTTTAAAATTATGTTAGTGCAACCGATTCTACTCGGTTATATGTTAGTAATCGCATCTTTTTACTGTTTTGAAACACTCTCATATAACATTCGTAATATTTTTATAATTTGCATTCGAGCTCAATGTGGTCATTCAAAAACAGATGTAATTCAAAACCAAAAAAATATTTGTATTGACGATATTAATTTAGAGTGAGTAATATATTTCTTTGGCTCTATTACAAAGGAATGCACCCTTAAAAATGAAATTATTATTTCTTGACTATTCAAGATATTCTTTTATTCTAAATTTTCGTTATTCTCTAATTTTTTTGTTATGATAGTTTAATTCAATACTTAAAATGGGTTTTTGAATAATCAGATTTTAAAACTGAAAACTAACTCGTTGGTGGATTAAGTTTTCGTTCACCTATCTTATATTTTGTACTCCAAAACTTTGAAGTAAAAAAATTTAACCCTATTTTCTAAAGGCTGTTTACATTTAATTTTACTTTGAAAAGATTTTTTATATATAATTATAAATCAGTTTCATTCTAATTCGTAATATAGCTCAATCTGGTTTCCATTTATCAATTTTTCAACATTATATCCTCAATTTTGTCATAGTTTATTTAACTTTTTTTTTAGAATAAAACGATTTTGCATATTTTACAACTTCATATGAATTTGATTAATATCTTTATTCCTATAATATTGAACATGGTCCGAACTCTGAGTTGAAACTTTATTCGATATTGAACATTTTTTACTTATGCGAGATTGCCAATCAATTTTTTTTTAAAAATCTATCTATATATCAATAGCATTTGATGTACAAGTTTTAAAAATTACTTTTGTGTGCTGAATTCACTTCTGACCCGATATTTTACTTAACGCAACGACCACGTACGAGAAACAAACTTGACGATGCAAGATACATATCTATTGCTAACTAATTCGCTGAATGTTCCGGCTAGGTCGCGTTGTTTCGCAGCTTATGGAATGCAGATCGCTCGTCCCTTCGAAAAACCGAACTGAAAGACTGATATCTAGAGCTGTAAATACTACTACGCACGACGCGTGTATCTGTGCACCTGCGATTTACGCAAATATATCTAACTTGAACCACGACGCGACTGGCGCCCGCGTAAAAAATTTGTAATAATCTTTATATCGATCCCGGTCAAATCGATTGATCGATTAATATTCACAGACTTAACTTACGCGCTAAACTTAACCTACGAGTTTTCACTTTTTGGTGCGAAGACAGATCCTGGAAGCGTTCGCGTTACCTCGATCGTCGTTTCTCGCGTTTCGTTCGCGTCGATTCGAAAATTGCTACGCTTCACGCCTCCCCGTCGTTCTAAAAATCGTTGCGAAAATAGGTTTTGGGTCTACGCGTTTTTTATCTATTTTTGCAATCGCATCGAAAGTCCTAGGATCTTTGCTGGTAACTTCGTTACGCTTCATCCGTTTCATTTATTTCATTTTCCTCGCGACTCAGGCTGCCGCGATAGAAATCGAAACGCGAGAACGAACGAATCGACGCGAGTCTTCGCAGGAATTTGATTATTTGTTTGTTACTTTTGGAATGCTCGACGAATCGACCGTCATCTCTCCGCGAAGTACACAAGTTCGCTCTGCTCCCATCGACTCGTCGAAGATTTATCGAATAATAAATACTTCCGAAAGAATTCGTTTCGTTCGGTGATCGTGAAACGTTGTTCGATCAAACGACGATGAAATTTGCACGCGATCGAAATGCTTCTCTTCTCAAATTGCTTCTTATTTATCATCTTAAGTGTCGTTTTACCCGTGTCTTGAGTAAACACGATTTACAAACACGTAACACGAGCACATCACTTATCTCATTACAAACGAGTATCGCGGTAAAACGTGCCACTTGACGAATAAATTGTTCCTTACGCTTATATTTATCACGTTTTAGGAAGGCGCACCTTGTTATCGTACTCCCGAACCACGTTTCGGAATACTGGTAGATGATCGAGACTGAGCTCTCCGCTCGAACGCCGGCCTACTTTACCTTATAAATTCGCGATCATTTAACGTTTATTGCGTCCGTATAAAAAACCCCCCGAGTGGGCGTGCTCGATATTTTAAAAACGTTCGTCGCTCGTTCGCACGGCTTCGAAATCGTTGGATTATCTGGCTTTTTGGTTCCACGGTATGCGGTGTAAAAATATCGTATCTAGTTAATTTGTACGGACAAATACTTTGGAAAATACGATTGAATTTTTCGATGTACGACACCATGATCTGCAAACTGGTCAGAGCGCTTTCAACAGATTTTGATCGCGATTTGTATTATAATTAACGAGCAATTTTCTGGAAAGCCTTTGATTTATTGCAATTTTAAATATAAATATTAGGTAAAAATTAGGTAGAAATTCGCAGTAGATTACAAGTGATTGTTTAAAGAGCATCGTGTTGTTACCAGTTTCTATCAGTGAAAGCGATTGATTAAGCCCGTGGTAAGTTTCATCGACGCGATATTATCGATAGAAATAGCGTGATTTGAAATAAATCAGTCGCGTTGAAGTTACGAACGAATTGCATCTTTCATTCTCTGTTGCTGAAATTCCCCTAGCGCTGCTATTGCTTCTGAACGATCGCTTAAATTTAGAACGTAAAGTACGCTGGAGACTTTCAATAGTTTCTTCGGCGTCACTCCCGCGCTGGGGGGTGAGCCCTTGGTAGCAGTCAGTATTCTTCCTCGTCCTCTTCGAACTCGTCCTCTTCCAGGATGCTGTAGGAATGCAACAGAAAACTTGTTATAGAAAATACAGAAAGGTTTCCGCATCGAACTACATTGAGAAGCATTACTTCGAGGAATTATTTTACTAAGTAATCAAAATTAAAGAGTTTAACATACGATATTGACATCGATCGATCAAATCTTTAACGAGCCAGGTTAGACAGCGTTTTCAGTCAACTTTTTGCTGCTCTCTTCGATATAAATACTAAATTAATGAAACACATTATCCGTCCACTGTTAGCGTTTCTAACTAAGGCAATGATACCTTACAACTGAGTACATAACTTTGATATTATATTATAAATTAGATTTTTTAGATTTCTAATAATAATTCGATGAAAGTAAAATGATTAATTACTACATTAAGCACGTCACTTTTGATTTTTCACATATCTTATTGATGAAGTTTTTATAATTTTCCATTATTAATGTAAAAGTCATTTTTCTGTGATAGATACTGACAGTCTTTCAGAATAATTTTTAATTAACGTCGAATTTCTTTTTTAACATTTAGTTAGTGAAAACAAAATATTAAATTCAGGAATATACAATGAATAAAAATATTTGCCATAATAAATTTATATACTGCATGAAAGTTTTATACTTATTCAGCATAAAGAAACAGCCAAAAGCTGTTTGTAACATGTAAGTACGTAAATTTACAAAACGTGAACATATAAATGTGTAATATAAATTTTTTACAGCATAAAATGTGCTAAAGGAAATAATGTTGAATACACCATGTACAGAAGTTGCCTTTTATTTTTCTATAACTCCTCGTACTTATAAAATTATCTATAAAATAATTTAGTGATTAAAATAATACAGAATAAAATGAAAGAAGGAATATAGAATTTATAGCAGAAATATTAGGTTAAAGGAGATTGTCAAAATTGAGTTTTATTTATCTCGATTACTATCAATACTATTTAAAATTTGTATATAATAGAGAAACTTTCAAATTTAATTTGCAGCAACTTTTATTATGTGCTTTTTTATTATAAAAGACATGAAAAGCCAAATATCTAATATTCTGTTGTTAGCGATGATGGGATTCTTTTACATTAAAATATGTTTCAACTAACTTTAAAACTAATTTATTCTAGAAATGATAATATTGGAAATGATATTTTCCACGCTTGCAATGTAATTATAAATTGTGGAAGAAATATTTTAATTCCTCGAAGCAATTCGTTAGAGCCATAAGGAGTTACAGGTTCTTCTAGCCTCACTGGGCACTGCATACATACACGTTACTTACTCTTCCTTTCTGGCGTACTTGTCAATAAGGTTACGGCCTGGTCCTCCGCAAGTCTTGCCCATTGGTGGGCAGTACCAATAGCACAGTACACAAAGAGATACTGCGAAAAGAACTATAGGCACCACCAAGGCCAGCACTAAATGCCTCAAATTCTCATCCCAGGAATATCTGAAAATATACGAAACCACGGTTAGAAAATTATTTCGACGTATTTCAAAATATTTTAGAGGTTCACTATTAACAATTTAGGATAAATTTTCGTAATTAAACTTTAAAAAAAATAACGCGTTCATGATAGAGTCAACAAATATTTTGTATATACATAGAAACGTCTACTAGATACACTGATATATTTTCCGTATTTAACGATATAATATTCGTTTCATAAATGTAGTAGTACGTAGCTCTATTTTGTGCACTTGCAAACGACAAGTATTTCATAGATCCGTCGCTAATAATTGTTTCAAAGTTCTACATTAAACGACAATGACCCACATAACAATGGCAACAGATTAAATATAGACGTTTCTAAATAATAAATGGTAGATAGGCGATGTCGACAGTTGCGTGCGAAACTTTTATCCGCAGTATCTGCAGATCGATATACGAAATAGTAATTATGTCGTTTAACGAGCAAAATGTGTCACGGTGACTCCGTAGAAAAAAATCATACAAACGTAGTCTCCGACACAGTTGACAAATAAATAGAAGCATAGGAAGATTCGTATCTTCATTTTTGTCACGAGATGCTCGTCATTATTCACAATGTACATCGGACATGACACGTTTCGTGCTTCCGTTCGTGTCACTTTCCAAGAATACCGAGGGAAAAGTATAATTATACCTCGCAACGACAGTCTCTGGGTGTGTCCTGCTGTAATAGCAGGGGAATATTTTCCCCATGTTCGCCTTTCCGTACTTCTTCGCGAAGATGGAACAGTTCACTCTGGGCGGGTAACCGCAGCCCTCCGTGTTCACGAAGAATTTCGTGTCCGAGACGTCCCAGGGAATAGAACCGAGTGGTTTTGCCATAAATTCCTCGAACGTCAGCCTCGTGTAGTTGACTCTGATCTGGTGGCAACGGAGAGCGGCACTGGTGCAACCTGCAATCGCAAAGTATCTTTGAACACTTGTTAAGTTCATTATACGTCGACTTGTTGACCTAGTTTGATTACAATCGATGGTCGCTGCCACTCAAAAGTCTTAGAATGTACCTGCTGTATTTGACAATATTTTGATACTTAGTGAACGTGCAGAATTCCGACTTATTTTTAGTACTTATGGTAAAATTAAACTTCTAGAGACAGTTATTATCTATTGTTTAGCAAAAGAATAATTAGTTCAGAAATTTATGAACTAAAAATGTATTTGGTATATTCATGGTACTTGTAGCAATCATTACTATGGATAAATATTGTGAAAATCTAGTCGATTGTATTTCGACTAGAATTGTATAATGTTACAATACAAACTATAAGAAAATTAGTGTCAAGGATGCTACAATATTGTTTTATTTGTTGATAAGATTTCTAAAATAGTAGAATATATAATAAGTCATTTTATCTAGACGTCCAAGAAAATTTATTTTATTTTTTTACATTTTCGTAAAGTTTTAGGATTTACAAACAATTCATGTTTCTAAATTGTCAGATTGAAATTCTAAACATTGGCTAAATTTCGGAATTACGAGGTACTTAGTATTTGATTATAATTTTATTAAATAAATTACGGTAATGTACTTTTAACGTAGATGACTTCTTTAAACGAGATAATATTTCTCTAAATTTTTCTTTGATTTACCTGATACGTAATGACTTTTCTAAGACTTTTTGGTGTTAGCGTAACTTTCGATTTAACAGTTGAATCTTAACTAAAGATGATAAGTTGTATTTAGTGAGTATTTTGTGCCCACAAAGGTTGTAAATATTTTTCATAACATCACAAGCATGTTTTGCACTTTGTGTGCATAACATACCAATTTTGTACAAAATGGTTGACTATATCTGATATAGCTGATTCCTTGAATAACATTTTTAGAGCATAAGTAGCAAAAAATTGAAACGTCGATCGCTTAAACAAAACTATTTGAAAAGTGCACACGAGTAATCGCCATGAGTAATTATTCGACACGAATTACCTTCTCTACAGCTTGCCCAAGAACAGTTTTTCAGTCCCTCGGCGTAAACGTGATCGGTGACAACGCAGGCCACAGCATGAGGAGAGAAGTCTGACAAAATGGTGGAAATCGCCGGCTCGACGACGAAAGGGATTAGAAAGAGAAAAGCGAAAACGGCAAGGATAGCTGTGGTGCCCAGGCAGAGAGACGTGTAGAATTTGGCCTTCTCTACCAGAGATTGGACTTCTACCACTGGTAGAACCCCTCCGCCCATGGTGCTGGACTTGGAGTCCTCTTCCTGGGCACCCATGATCACCGTTGACTCGTCGGACTCAATGGTTGCTGCTTTTGTGGGTCGCTTGGACCCTACTTTCACCGAGTAAAACTTTCCTCTGCTTTCAAAGCGCAGAGACCAAACGTCTACCTCCTTTCGTCCTCGATATCGACGAAATTACTTTTCTGTTCTTCCAATCGTTCAATGCAGTTTCTCGAATGTAATTTAAAGAAATCTTTGAACGAATTATTCCTCGGTACCGTAGGCCGACGTCGAGCTCCGATGTTCCGAACGTCTTCTTTAAATTAATCGTAGAGTAAGCTTAAAGTTGAAATACTTTCAGAAGAGTTACGAAGCAAAGCGAGAAATCGTGAGAGGCCTCGATAGGCCTGTTGGTGCAGAGATCGGTCCCGATCGATCATATACCCAGCAAGGCACGTCCTTCGAATCCCAAAGTGTATCTTGTGTACATGTAGTTATAATATTTGCATAGCCTCGATACGTAGAGCTATCGTGTAGTAACGTTCCTTATCTACGGTCACGGCGAATCAATCAGAAGGGGGACACTTAAAAGCTACCGACGAATGTCACGTGTAAAAGACGCCGAATTGTCTTGTTCCTGTTTTTGTTTCTCGTTACTGTCCGTATCCGAAAGAATCTTTGAGCCCAAATTCAGGATCTCCCTGTCAGCAGGAGACAAATAGTCGAGAGCTGCGTCGCGCATCCATTTGTACAAACTCTTCGAAGCGATCTGTCCGCGTGCGCGACACGGGCAAAAAAAGCACGTGCGCTCTCGAAAGTATTTGTGCAGGCAGTGCAAGTAGGAAAAAATCGGTACTTTTTTTTTGTTGTTCTCGATCGCTTGCTCTCTTTTTTGGTTTGTTTTCTTGATGGCTTTGCAGAAATGTTTGCGTTTGTTTCTTTTCTTTTGTTTTACTTTTTTTGCAACATGAGAATTTTAACCACGCGTTCCCCCCCTCCCCACACCTTAATAATGCCCGCGCAGGGAGAATATCGACTGACGAGCCGGACTCTCCTCCAGGAGGGGAATGCCTGTCAACAGAAAGAAAACGTTATGTTAGAAGCGTATAGCCACTCATCAATACACCTTTATCAAGTTATCTATATAGAATGCTGTCTAGAGACCCCCTCGTTAAAAATTAAATATTAGGTCACCCTTCGTTGTGCTATATTTTAGTCTAATGATACGTGAGAATAGGTAGCATAGAATAGAATAGCGTGATGTTGAATATTGCAGAACGTTTGGCGGAAAGAATAAAATCGGTTGTGAGTAAAGAGTATTTCAAATTTGATTATACATATTCTTCTGAGGAGATGTTTAAATACGTCGGTAGATTCAGTCGTAATTCGTCTAAAAATATATCCATAATCGTTGTGATTGGCATCCTGTTGATGCCGAACGATTCTTACGTGACGGATCTCAGAGCGCCATAGCAGAGTTTCCTCCGCCAGCATCCCCTAGGTTACCCAGAGTGCTCTTCTCTATCTGCGAACCGACCGTGCCCTTGAATCTCATCTTCGCGTCGTCCCCGACCACCACGGTCCTTTGACAAAAGATCAACGTCAGGCAACTGACGACGAAAAGAATGCTCGGCAACAGCAACGCGACCAGAAACTCCTTGTACGTGTTCTCCAAATTGAAACGGGACACGACCACGCCGGTGTTGCCCTTGGCATAGTAACAGGGGAACCTGGCGCGCGCGTTATGGTCGGAGCCGTCTTTCCCGTACTCGTGAAGAAAGTCCTTGCACTCCTCGCGAAGCGTGTTCACGCAACCCTCGAGATTGATCAGCAGACGGCTCTCGTTGGCGATGATCAAGTCTTGCTCCGGTGGCGCGACCCTTCTGCTCTCGTCCAGCGGTTTGGTCGCGAATATGTTGAGGTAGGATAGATAGGTGAAATTGGTCAGATCTGTGAGAAGATCCTTCTCGAGAACGGAACCGTTTATGCAGTCCACAGCCTCGACGCCGAGGGTGGAATTGAACATTCCGTAGCACGACGCCATCATGACGTCCCCGCGATTCTCGTTCCAAATCTCTTCGTTCGAGAGAACGTCTATCGCTCTCTCGCATTGACTAAGATAAACCTTGTCACCGCTTAGCAATATCATATTCTTGTTTCTAGTTGGGATATCGACGCACCTGCGATCGCAGTTATAAGGGGTTCTAATACGCTCGCAAGTCCCACGATTACAATTGAACAAACCGTCTATGTCTATGCAAGTTATTTTCCCGCGTCTCCCGGAACACTTCATCGGTGGATCGGTATCATGAAATATACACTCGAACGCGTCCGTAATATTGATACACACCCCGGACGTACAATTGAACGTGCCCGTTAGGTTACGACACTCGTCGGCGATGCATTTCGATTTCTTCGCGTTCTCCTGATCGATACCGTAACAAGTCTTATTCGTGGTGTTCGTACAGTTCGCCAGGAGTATCGTAGACCCGTTCCCCCGTAGATTCACGTGAATCTGTACGCAGGGACCGGAGGTTTTCGACAAACACCACTCCCCGCAGCTACCCCAGTCGCAGTTGTCCGCGTTCACCGCGCGTATTGTCGTGCACATCACTGGCACCTCGCTGATGCCGGACTTGAACGCCCTGGTGCTGGGCATGTAGATCGCTACGGTCAGGTAGACCAACGCGACGGAGGACAAAACGGCCGTCATCTGACAGATGCAAATCGTCCCGCAGATTCGGCCATCCTGCGGCGGGATCACCAGGTTCTCCACTGGTACTTCCTTCGGCATGGTGCCGGGCTCTTCGATCACCAAGAAGATCCTGATGTCGATCACCGGGTGTCTGTTACATCCTACGTAGCGACTGAACACTATATGGGTGGTCTACATCATCGTAGTAGCGTTCGACGCGCACTGCTCCTTCCTCCGACAGTCTCTTCGATGTATAGTCAAACTGTAACTACGGACCTTGCGGTTGAGGGCATCGGCGCTTTATCAATACCTGGAGTTACGGATTTCGTAGACTGTACGTACCACCAGCGACATGTTCCATGGGATCGGGCGTCCCCGACGTTCAACGATTCACCTCCATCGCCATTTATTTTGTTCCAGCTGTCGATGGGCTAACCCTTGTCGCTCGAAATTCGGTTTCTCTTATTTTGTTTCACTGGGAACAGTCAGTTGACGGGTGTTCGTCGGTGAGATTCTGACGATTCCAATGTCGTTCAAGGCCAACCGAGGATTCGCATTGCGAAATCGGATTCTCTGGTCGGAGTTTCTCGCGACTCCGAGTCACGATGTTCTTTTTACCGCAGGACGAGTCTGGTCGCGCGCGTGTTCTGCTTTCGGTTGCTTTGCGCCTCGTGTGAGGTGCGCGGGTGGAAAGCTCCGAAAGACGACGCGCATCGATCGATGGCTCGCGCAAGCGTATCAACGAACTGCAACGACGCCGTGCACTGCAGCATTTGACGTCATCGATATACCACCGTGTGTCATCGGGAGAGAATCTCTGTTGCAGGATGATCGTACAGAAATGGCGGGATCCAAAGGATCCAGCGAACAAAAATTGAATCTTTTGTGATTACGGAACCGGATACCGAAGTACTCTTGCGAACGTTCATTCTGTTCGATACTGAAATCAAATCGACAGGTCTTAGTACGGATTTTGAATTTCGTAGGTCACCTTTCTTCTTTGGCAGCGATTGTTTCATAAATTGTATCGTGGTGCACGCGTATTTAGAGTCAGTTTAATACATACGATATCGATTGCGGCTGGGGTTCGCTTTTATTCTCGTCGTAGACACGAATTTGGTAGTTAAAACAGTTCAATTTGGGAACAGATGTTCCATGTATTCTTCTCGAATATCGGTTTCGTAACGCTGCATGTAAATGCAACGCGTCTCGGAATAAACATTACTCGAATGCATATTGGGCGGAACTGGGTCGAAGATCAGCAGCGCCGAAGGTCCTTTAATCGTTCCGACCGAAGCTTGCTGTTTTAATAAAAGTAGATCGGATTTAGCTCGCGTGTCGTTGCTACGATTGCATGAATTCGATATACAGTTCGCGACGATGTTACAAATTGCAGGGCAAAAATATGGATTCTTAAGGAGGTAGTCTAGTCTTGGAATTTTAAATGTTAAGCTCCTTCAAACTTACGTATGTATATCCCTAGAGAATACAAAATTGTAATAATTTGAAATTTATGTACTCTATTGTTCATTGGACGGTAGATGTTCCACCAAAATTATATTCAATTAACTTAAATGTAAAGCTTTTAGACAATGAGCATGATTATAAATTCATAGGGAATCTGGAAGAATTATATAATTCAGAAAGGTTTTCCATATGCTGGAAGTAAAATGGGGTAAAAAAGTAGATCGTATTTTTAAATATACACGAATTTTTAAGGAAATTTATTTAAAAAATAGGCAAAATCTAACATGACGAATCGAATAGTATAAGAAGACGTCATTTTTTTTACGAGACCATCATTGCCCGACACCAGGCACCGCACTGGTGGAATTGTGACAGAGTTTCCATCGCCATAGGGCATTTAGAACGTGTGACACAGTTTGAGGAGCAAGCAACGAAAGTACAGAACACAAAAAGTGTAAAGCTTAAAGCACTAATGCTTAATTAATTGCATTGGTATAGAAACATTTTCTTTTTCAATTCTCATCATCTGACATTCTTTTTCGAATTCTTTGCAAGAAACTTCGTAGGACTGCTAATGTATACTTCAGGCACAATTTGTATAAAACATAATCTATCTGAATTAAAAATGCAAGTGTCCTAAATAATTACTTGTTTTTTAAATTGAATTATATTTTTCGTTACGTTGAGTAAACGTGTTTTCATTTTCAAAGCTTTCGAGCACAGACTTTTGATTCCTTGATAATTCAAAATATGACATAAGATTGTTTGAAAAAATACATTTCATTTATACCTACGTGAAAGAAGATATACAGTTTGTGTTTTATTCACGAAAATATGTTAGGTACACAGAATGTCTCTTGACACATTTAGAGACACTTTTAAAAATATAACAAGGTACAAAACCAAAGGTTCTACTACTATTTTAATTAATATCTAAAGAATAAAACACATACTTTGACATACTGACTTTATTAAAGTAGATTCTCTGGATCGAGGGAAAAAATTGTTATAAATATTTAATGTCGAGAATTTTGTCATATTACGTTTTCAATGTCTATCATTAATTGCCAAAGAAAACTATAATCTCACTCGTGATTGTAATTGTATAAAAAAAAAAATTGCAAAAAGATGTATATCTTTATTATTTGTTTACATAATACTACGTAGAAACAAATTTTCTTACAATTATATTTTATCTCATGATAAAGTCACGTAGTATATGTAAATGTATTTTTCGGTTCTCCGATGGAAAAGAGAATTATGCTTGCTGTATGCACGAAGTCATGCTTCCGTTGCTGTAGCGAATATGAAACATGTCAAGTCACTGAAATCTTATTATATTTTGCTTTCTGAAATATTAAATTTACAAAATATGGACTCGACATAGTTTACCTTTGAGGATTTATATTACATGTTTTTCTTGTTCTTTCGGTATTTCTATTTTATTTTCTTAAACTTCGATTTTATCGATATATATTCGTTTTCACGAATAAAAACAATAGAAACGAATAGAAACTAAATGTCTCGAGTAACATTTTTTGCTCGACAGAACTAAAATACTGCGATCTAGGACCACGAAAACGAAAACCCGCGTTTATTCAGGCTAACGAAGAGTTTAATTTAAAAATTTGAATTTTCCTCAGCGAATTTTCATCAAATTTTGGAGTGTCCGCTAAGAATCCATAATTACCGTAATTACGTGAGCCCAGAGCCTCTCGCGAGGTCGTAGCACTTCCTACGGACGGAAAGGAGAAAAAAGTTTTTAGAGCGCCGGAAAGCACTACACAATGCAAATCGTACGCGCGAACGAGGGTGAAGAAGGGGGAAGTAACGTCGACAAACGGTGTTATTTTTTTTCTCTCCCATCGTGAAATTATAAAGCAAGGATCGCGATAACGCGTGCTCGCCGGAACTACTTAATTATCAGCGAACGTTTTTCCCCCTCTAACATATACGCTCCAGTTTTTTTTCTAATTCCTGAGAAATTGACGCCGCGCGCCGCGTGGTTGCGACACAGTTTCCGGTCGCGATAGGACCTTCGAATCTGACACAGTTCGCGAGGCGGCCAACGACGAAAGAGCGAGGCGAAACGTTGGCAAGGGGAAAAAATAGAAGAGGAAGCAGAAATAGAAGGCTCGACGCGTTAGCACGTAATGTAGTTTATCGAGCGTCAGCTGCAGACGGTGTGGCGCCTGTAGCTTTACGCCGCGTTCTTCGCGACCTCCTCTACTACGCGTGTCTCGCCTGCCACTTGCAATTCCACTGCGAATAGAAATTCTTTCGGCTACACTCCGCGACAAAAACATACCACGCGAACGAGCGAGCTTCTCCAAACGAACAATTAATTTTTACAAAATTTTCACCGAATAAATGCTGATAAACGTTTTGGTTAAGATTCCATTAACCCTTTCGACTCGCGTTTTTTCTACTCGCAGTTTAGTTATTTTGCCATTAGAAATCAATAGTACTATACTAGGGATGGCTACGTATCGATTTTCAGAGCTGTTTGATGATTTTGGAAATTTGGACGTATGTCATCAGTTTTTCTCAGTGTGACGTTATGTGTCCCGTTGACAGAAAGGATAACGCGCAATGTATACATATATAAAAACTTGCTAGGACACATTGTTGACATACAACTTTCAAATTTGATGAATATACGGTTTTGTGTGTCAATTTTAAAAATTGGGATTTTGTTACGTGGAACATATGAGTCTCCAGTAAATGTAAAGGTAAATTAATGGTCCCGATTTTCTATCAGTAGCTTGTATATGTATATATTATATATGTATACATATCACAAACTTAAAATACGAAATTATTAGAACGACTTATGGTATTTTGCCATACACATCTTGCAAACAGGAATCTTCCAACTCGTACAAATTGCTCTTGGACTTGTTTCTTTTTTATTTTGGGAGAACCTTTGGAATCTTTTTTGGGCTTTTCCTTTCTCGAAAAGATGTACATATATTTTGAAATTATTGTAGGTTTTCCCCTTTTTTTTAAATTGATGTTTCATAAAGTCAAGAAGTAGATACTTATATTTACTTACTTCTATATTATATTCAACGTTCTGTATTTTTTAAATAAACTTAAAGTCACTAAAATAATAAATTTAACCCCTTTAAATTTATGTAGATTACATCATACCTAAATTGTATAAAAATTGTTAATATCGAGTGCAAGAACCCATATTTATTTTTACTCCCACGCATTAATTTTTTTCTTTCTTCTTCATCTTTTATTTTCTTCTTTTCCCACTCGGTACTTTATTATTCTTTTTGTACTGTTGGTGTACTTTCGATATATTATTATTCATATATCACGAGGTTGTGCTTGTTTTTTTAAAGATTTACAGCAGACCTTTTTAGTCAGGCTCTGTAAACGTAAAGCCGTTAATCAATCTTTTCATAGTAAACAGTGATTTTTATTTCGACATGATAAATTGATATTCACGTTTGTCCATTACGTCATTTTGTTGCTTTAACCCGTACATAGTATCAGATTGGGAATGATTTTTCACGAATAAATGAATTTTTTCCTTCAACGTTTAATTATTGAGAAAATCAACCCTGAAAATTCATTAGATACTACCGATCAACTTTGGTTTGTATTACTTCTCCTTGTTGTCGTATTTAGAAACATTTATAAGACGATTGTTCGAATAAGAAAAGAAGCAAGTCGGTTCTAAGAGGAACGTGCCCTATCTTCATCAACGCGTTTGTCGAGGAGACAACAATTGTCACATTAGTAGTAGAGTTTATATTGAACGTTACAAAACTAACGGAGACTCATATCTTACTAATAAAATAGTAGAAACGATCAAAAACAAGCTATGATCTCTGTAATGATCGCAAATTCAAAAACAAGCAGTAGTACTTGCAATGTCAAAAATAATACAAGTCTGTACAGAATGATTTCCTCAAGAATGAAACATTTTTCAACGAATAGAACACTTTCGATTTATTTACTTTTTATCAGAAATTATCCACCATCAACCTGTGCTACGTTTCGTGGAATAAAGTGTCCGTAACGTAAATAAGCCTAACCTGTGACGACGACTAAAGAATGTCAGTCAAGCGGATTAAAATAAATCAGAGATTGTTGAAAGAGTCAGGGATTCGAGGATGTCAGGAATGTATTGATATTGGAAGCACGACACATGGAAGACAGCTTATAAGAGATT